GTGCCAGTGTCCGCTATTGTGAATTCCTGTGCCTTCCAGTTCTCTTCTGTCTCCTCCTGCCCTGCATGGTGAATTGGGAGGCTGACCATCACAGGCTGCCCACTGCTTTCCTCGTACCATGGCTTGCGGTTAGATTTCTTGAGCACTTGAGGGAGGAGGAGAAAGGGATCAGGATATACTTTTTATCCCCCTGGCTCCTTCCCTGGAGCTGGGCTGACCACCCTTCTGGAGCCAACGACCAGGAAGGTCCTGTCCTGTCATAATGCCCACAGTGGCCAGCTGGTCTCCGGTTCCTTCTGTTATCCTTCAGGCTGGTGGCTGTGGTGGGTAACAGACCGTTCTGTTCCTCTTTGCTCTCTTTTCTATGCCCTCCACACACTTGAGGAATGTTCTAATTACACTCCCTTCAAATCATCCCTCCGATTCACTGCCATCACCCTGAGGGAATCTCCCTCTTCTCTTTCAACCCAAAACACTACCAGCGGTGTTTATTTTCTAAAGGATCTTTGTCCTTATTTATTTCTTTACAGTTACCCAAATCCTGGTGCTCACACCCTCTCTGAACTAGGACAACTGTCTCTTACTTCAGACTTCAACTTTTTATCTTTCCTGTTTCAACCTAATTTACATAAAACACCAGGTTAATTAATCTTTCTGAAGGCTCTGATTTTTCCATATACAAAACTCTACTATACTAGCAAGAAGGGTAGCTTCCAACCAGAGAGTTTACATTTTATGGTATTTTCATTTCAGAACTTTGCTTTACTCCATGGCCAGCTCAACTTGAGATTCAACTCCATTCACTGAGACCCAATGTCAGTGACTGTCTCACGGTGTTTCCCTTAAACCTCACAAGAACCTTGCACACTGGCCATTTTATTGCTCACATTTTATACATCAAAAAATTCAGGTCCAAAGACATTTTCTATTCTGTCCAAGACTACAGAGGACAAAAACTCCCACATCTGTGTCCCAAAGCTTGGGTTCTTACTGCTCCATGATGCCTTGGTGGGCTTGTGCGATCCCTGAAAACTATCTCCAGCAAAACAAAGTCTACTCTGGAAGAGAAGCTGGTTAGCAAACCAACCCATGCTAATGACACTGAAGCGCCTGAGACACAGGGAGAATGTACTGGTACCATGGCCCACGGTGCACAGGACACGCCTCACCTGGGCGTGGATGGGCTGGATGAGCCAGCCCTGGGTTTTGCACATAGGAAGGTTACAGCATTTGGGAGTTGTGGGGATTCCAATGTAAGTGAGGAATAGAGGAATGAGATTTTGGGGGGCACAGAGTTGACTCTGGGGTTCAGGACTACTGGCACCTTACGTCAACTCAATCTCCCTTGGATTGGAACTCCTGGTGTCAATGTAGGAGCTGGAACACCAACAGGAGTAATTAAAGATACATTGTTGTGTAAGAGTAAGTACATGTCTCGGGCAGTGCTCACAATTTAGGACAGTGAGAGTGAGCAGTCTGGGTCATAAAAATGATGAAACATAATAAATAAGTTCCCCAGAATGTGTTGCAGCTTGGGAACACCTGCCACAGTCTGTATGGAGCTGGCTGTTTGGGTAGATGGTGACCAGTGTGTCCGAGTAGACAATGACAGAGACTAGGCTTGGAAGGAACAGGGCCGTGGTGCACTGTGAACTTCCCTCACAGGAATATTAGCAGGACTGCCATGAGGGGCAGGGGGAGGGCTTCCAGAGCTATATAGAGAGAAGAGGCCAGACTGGGAAAGTGTGGCAGTGGGCAGCAGAGGGGCGGAGCTGTGGGGGAGGGGGCTTTCTAGGAAGAAGGAACCACAGGATGAGGAGCAAGGAATCACACCAGGAGGAGTAAGCCCGTAGAGGGGGTGGAAAGAGGCAAAGGCAACAGTGACATGAAGGGTCGCACAGTGTAGAAGCAGCAGGATTGGTGAGAAGGCCAGAGCCGGGTCACATGGGACCCGACAGAGGTGATGCCAAGAGCAGATGTAGGGGAATGCCTAGAGGGGGCTGGAGTAGATGAAGAGACCTCTGTATGCCAGTAGACAAATGACAGACAGATCCTTGGAATTAGGTTGGGAGCACATGGGAAGAAAGAAAGTCTGTATCCACCCAGGTCTGTCTGCCTCCCCACCCATCAGCTCCAAATTACCCTTTTCTCCCAGGTGCCACTGGTGGGTATGTCAATGCTCAGAGAGATTTCAGAAGATTCAACAGAACTAAATTTCCCACAGAGGAGTCATTGATTGAATGCTCTCCTGATTTTGTCATTTGAGAAATGGGTTTCTTAATAAAAACAATTTATGCATGTTTTGAAATCATTTCCTTGTAATCCCATTTAATCCTCAAAAATCCATGATGAAGGTTTGACATTCGAAAAGTTGAGTCACCTGCTTGCTAATACCTTAAAGCTAATGCCAGTGGCACAGTGATCACGGGGGTGAGGACAACAGCCTGACTGCCCTACTGATGACATGATTCCAGCCTTGTCCATGTCACTGTGTGTAAAGTCTCAAGACTGCTCTAACTTTTGCAGATGAGACAACCATGCTGATGATCACACAGCTAGTAAGAGAAATACAATGAAACACTCTGATTCTAGGGTCTGAGCTCTATCAGTTCACAACCACAGCCTGCACTCTTCTCCAGACTATGCAATTAGAAATTTATCAATAAGCTTGAACTTCAGTGCTGGCACCAGAACCACTGATGAGGAATTGTACTCACTGTCAGATACTTTACACACCCAAGTACCTTTTGGAATCCAGCAATTAACTGCATGATGCGCAATTGCTAAATACTAACTACGAAATCTTTCCTACTAAACCAGAGTAACAGCACACACTCACAGCTTGGGTGGGAGAGTCTGGGAGGGAAATACCTAGCTCAAGCTGGAGAGGGTTGGTGGGGAGGAGTACCGCCCCCAAAACTGGGGGTGAAGGAAACTCTAAGAAAGTTTCTGCTAGAGATAGTTTCCAGCGTAAGAACTGGGTTAATAATTTCACATCTCCAAGGGAAGCCTTTTGGCTTAGCTCTGGGCAGCCAAGAACTTCTACCCATGCTCTGTCCCACTGAACTCAGATGGCCTTTCACTGTTAGGTAGCCTGATTTCTCCTCTTTCCATTTGCAGACTCCTGGAACTGGGGAGACCACAGTGGTTCCTAGTCCCAGAGCTGCAGTCTCTTCTACAGTGATCCCCAGTTATCTGTTCAGAAAAGCATTTCCTCTTATGGGGAGCTCAGGAGCTCCCCAGGCAGCCCCAGCCATTCTACTGTTTATTTTCCACCACTCTTGCAACATAAACACTGTTTGCTTAGAAAAAGTACATGAAGCTGGACTAGGATTTTTTGTCAGTTCTCGTCTTCTGCAGTACTGAACTCCACTGATGGTTGTTGCTTTAAAAAAAGAAAAAAAATCTCTGTCTCTGTCTCACTCGAGCTCTTTCTGGAGCACTCAATGTTGCTAACTGAACAAGAGTTTCTTAGGATTCCAGAGAGAAGAGGGCAGACAGAGTCAGTTGCTTATTTGCCTTCTTAGCTCCTTGAAAAACAGATCAGCCATCTCTTATTTGGTAGAAAAACGTTCCCATAAATACATTTTTTCCTGGACATATCAAGAAAGTGACAGGCAAATTCACATCTTTATTGTCTGGAAGCACACAGATACAGACACATGGCCCTCTAAGTTATAGGATCTATAGAGTTTTGCAGTTTTTCTGAGCCTGGTGGGGAACCCAAACAACACCCAGATAGTAAAAATTAAGAGGCAAAATTTTTTGGCTGTGAGAGGCAGGGTCGCCCAGCCTCACTTGCTTGCATAGTGTAGATATGTAATACACAAAGGAAGACGGCAGAGGGATGAGTCATACAAGCACATAGTAAATAAATATATTTCACTTCCATCTCATTGGCTTTTGCTTTTGTTTTCCTCTTCTCTATGCCAACGGCCTTGAAATGGAGGGAGGGTGAGGAAATAGTGGGCTTTGGTTGGACACAGTCTCATTAAGGTGCTGATTTTTCTGGCCTTGCTGCTGCTCAGTTGTAGGGCTTTCAAAAAACAGAACAAACCCCCACGCCCCCACCAAAAAACCCCTTGTATATCCTGATTTACAGAAGAACATCGGGGATGCAGAGCTGGGACTAACACAAAGTCATAAACCCAGGGAAGTGAACACTGGTCGAGGTCCAGCGGCTCCACAGCCCCACCTGATTCCGGAGTGGCCTACACAGAGGGACTTGAGCCCAACTGTGCTCTCACAGGGCATCACTGGGCATGGCCAGAGCAGCACCACTGAAGAAAGACTGTGCCTCTTAGTGCTGTTGAGTGCAGCTCTCAGCAGGCGAGGCCCAGCCAGAAGCAAAATGTCTGGTCCTGGTTCTGCAAGACAGTAGCTGCCTCTGGCACGTCAGACCTGTCACCCAAAGGGTTTGTCCCTTTCCCTTCTTCAGGCGTGAGGGTGGGTCGGGGAGGGCCGTCAGCCTGTAGCTGGGTGGAGGAAGTAGCCCCACCAGGCTGAGGGGCATGGGAGCTGTCCTTTCAGTTTCCAGAAGAAGGTGCCTTCATGAGCATTTGTTTATCAAATTGCTCTTTTGCATCCCGTTGCTCGCCCATGCCCGCCCATATGCCAGCCTCCCTGCCTTCCCCTGCTCCGGGGCCAGCAGGGCTTCCATGGTCCTCCAGATGTGGACAGGAAGGTCTGCTGGAGCCCCACGTCAGACAATGGCCACAGTGCTGCTTCCTAGGCCTTCTCAGCATTGCTAGAAGGAGACAGCAGCCTTCCCAGCAGTGGCAAGGGGCGCCTCTGATTAAACATTAGCAAAATCATCATGGAAAGCCAGTCCCCAAAGCTAGTCCTCTGCCAGGGAACTCAGAAAGCTCCAGAAGGAGTCAGGGGTCAGGTATCCACACAGATGCCAAGCTTCTTTCCTCCTTCTAGGCAGCCGGCGCAGGCTCCTGCACCTCCCGCCCCCACCCCTGTTCCCATGGCAAAGGAGAGGAGGATCCACTTACTGCTCGTGTTCATGGTGATGCCTTTGCACTGGGTCTTTCATTCAATAAGGAGGCCCCGTTGGCTTTTTAAATCTTCCGTTCTCCCGACCTCACTCATCACCTGGGGGTGAAAAGGCAGTCCAGGGCCAGCTCCGTATCCTCAGGTGCTCTCTCCCCGCGCCGTCCCCTCTCCGTCTGCATGGAGTCCCGGCCTTGAAGGCCACCGGACCCACGGCGCAGGTGAGGGCGGCCAGCAGGGAGGCGGGCGGCACGCGGCGCCCCGGGCTCCCCCTCCGGGCCCCGAACCCCGAACCCCGGCCGGCACGGCGGCAGCGCCCGCTCCGCGCACCGCGCGCCCTGCAGCCCGGCGGCCCGACCGAAGGGGGTGTGGACCACGAGCGGGAGGCGGGGGCAGCGCGCGCGTCCCCGCCCGGCCTGGGAGCAGCCACCCGCCCCGGGACCCACCTCTCGGCCCGCGCCGGGCGCCAGAGGCCCCCGCCCCGGCCCCCGCGGGCGGCTCATGGATGCCGACGGCCGTCCGCGCTGCGGGGCTCCAGCGCGAGCGCCGCGCGCCGGCAGAGCTCGCCAGCCATGCTGAGGGCTCGCGGGGGCAGCGCGGGGGGCGCGGCCGCGCGCTGGCGCCACCTGCTGGACGCGCGGGCGCGAACCCCAGCCCCGCCCCGCCCCGCCCCGCCGGGCTTCTGCCTGGTCCTGGGTGTGGGGGAGGGAAGAGGGGACCCGGGGCCCAGGGCCACAAAGGGCTGCTTGGGCACCCGTTCTCCTGCGAGGGTCTTGAGTGTCTGTGCCAGACGGTGACGGGAGAGAAAGTTGTGGCTGGGAGGAGCCGTGGAGGAAAGGTTGGCTTTGCAGGCAGAGAGTGCCCCCCAGGTCTGGTGCTGAGCAGGGGTGCTGTCTGGTCCCCCTGGACTGTGGAGGGCGGCGGCTGGGCCAGTGGGTGAGATACTGCGCATCCCTCCACACCCACATTCTAACTTATGTTCCCACTTTCCCCACGCATTCTCTTTATAGTGCTTGTCACCTCTTCCTTGCTAGAACTCGGGGAAAACCTGAGTGTTGCTAGGAAGGTTCAAGCCCTGTCCCCACTGTGGGCAAACAGGGCCTGCCACTGTGGTTTTCACAAAATGACCCATGCCTTTTCCAGCTCAGAAATTACGCAGCTCTCAGGACGCACCTCCACCCTGACCTACTCGTCTGAGAAAAACAGGCGTGCGGCTTCATGAGTAACTTCCCGGGTCCACCTCAGATTTTATGGTCAACTAGCTCTTCCCTCAAATTATTATTATTCTGGCACTTCGGTCTTAAAGGTGTGTATTATAGCCATTTGCTTTCTAAATATTCTTAATCACAATTGACCAAAATAGGGTGGGGTTCTTTACATTCTTGTGACTATTAACTCTGTCACCTCCTGAGCCTAATTCATGGTCACCGAAGCATGACATTTGAGTGTTGAAAAACAAGACTGGGATAATACAAAATCCCTGTTCCTAGAATGACTTAATTAGAGCATGTACGGAAGCAGAGAGTTGTAAACACTCACTCCCTCAACGCATGGACAAGGAACAGTGGACCAGAGGGGACGCCCTCTGGGCAATCTTGAGTCTGATCCCGACTGGATCTCACACCTATCCCAGCCCCCTGTGATGCTGGGGTGTGTGGATAAGGAAAGGTGACCATCCTCTTAAAATTGGACAAAGAACACCTTTTAGGTAAATAAAACGTTTCTAACTTATACAAGGTGGAAATAATTGGTATGGCTCATGTCCTCAAAATATGACAAAAACCAAACAATCTTTTGATAAGTCAAGGCATCAGTAGACTTGAAACATATTTTGATTTTAAAATTAGGATTAAGATTTTTTTTTCTAATGGGCAGGAACAAAAATAATCCTAATCTCTTCACAATTGTTGTCAAATTTTTATATGTATAACAGACACCTGAGAGATACCTGAGCTCCGGATTCCCTTGCTTAGTATTTTAAGTAGGTGTCCCAGGGAATTACTTTGTAGGCAGATCACTGCTACCAAGAAGAGCAGAGACTAACAGCTTTGGAAACAATAAGTGATTATCGAATATTGAAATTATTCAAAAACTCTCCCTAGACTTTCCTACACATTCAGATTGAGATTCCTCATTCAGTTCCCAAGTTGTAGGCACCTTTCTACGTTATAATATTTGTAGGAAAGATATTTTTTCTGCGAGAAAATTCAGATGAGTCAGATATATAAAATTAACAAACCTATTTCATATATATTTTTAATTATCACCCACAGCATGAGTATTCAAAACTTTTCAGATTATAGGACATAGCCAAAAAGGTCATATTTACTGATGTAACTAGTCACTGAACAATCAAGGAAGGAAACATGAATTAGGTAAATACAGTGATGGCTCGAATACTGTCTCCAGCCTGGCTCTATCCTTGCTTACTAGCTACATGACCTTGGGCAAAATACTCAGCCTCTCTTTAAGACTTCAATTCTTTACCTGTAAAATTGGTATAATGACAGTACTTACCTTTAGGATTCTTGTGTATGTTAAAATAGTGTAATGCACGTCAAATGATGACTTGATGTTTGCTAATCAGTATTACCAGTGCCTCACACCTACCCTTAATTCTGTCATTTCCTGCTTAGGGAGTTCTGGGCTTTCCCACAGGATGGTGGCGTTAAAAATACACCTCTGAATTATCCAAATGTAAGAAACTGACCCGTTCTCCTCCTCTAGGGCTCTTTTTAATAATGCATCCTGCTGCTTGCCAGGGAATTTGGCTCTTAGGAGGGACTCCTGGCCTTGCACCACTTTAAAAGTTTCAAGTAACTTCCACTGGGGAAGCAACCTCATTTCCCTCACATAGTTATGTAAGGACTGGAAAAAAAGGGTTAAGGGAAACTTAAAAAGCTGTCCCCATGAGGATGTCTACAACAATCGGAGGGGAAGGATGCCGGAGGAAGCTGCGGGTGGGGCTGTGGGGTCTGGGCTGTGGAAATCATCAGGGGAGCTTCAAGCCTGGGTTCTCTCCTTGCAGGAGCGCACGGACTGAGACTGCAGGGCGGAAGGCCCCTTTGTTTGGAAGTTTGTTTTGGACTTTGAGACTCTAGATGGAGATAAGTAGTATCTACTCCAAAACAGGCAAATAATCCCATTTGTTGGAAGGCTGTGCGGTCCAAACATTGGGAGACAAATTCTCTACCTTCTTTGAGGGGAAAGAGGAAGGCTTTTGGGATGAGCTTCACTCTGTGTCCACTGCCACAGCCTGCCAGATTGCTGCTAGGTTGTCCCCCATGCCTCTTCTCTGCACGAACACGCCGCTCCCTCCTAAGGGACTCCCCACGCCTGACCATGGCGTCTCCTGTTCTCTGCACTTTGGGCCCCGCTGCATTGCTCACACTGACTGGCATAGCCTTGGGCCCTAACTTTTCTCTCTGTCCGTCTTGTCTCCTTCCCATCCGGCTGCATCCCACACTTTTCTCTGCCTCGTCAGCTGGGCTTCTCAGCCTGCCCTGTGCTGCTCCTGATGGTTGACATGTGTAGTTCTCATTCATCCTGATGATCATATGACTCCTTCCAGGCTCTCGGTGTGGGGACAGTGAATGGTGCTTGTGAAATTCCTCTTGTCATCTCTAGACTGTTCGAATTCCTCATCAAGAAGGAGGACTTCCAATTTTATTTTTGAAAGAGTATTTAGCTAACAACATAAGATGGATAGACATATGGCATAATAATCATGATGTGTGGTTATGTAAGAAAAGAAAACAACAGAAGAATGCATACAGTATCTTTTTAAGGGTAATTTATATGTTATATATAATGCAATACTGTGTATAGCATACATATGATATACAAAGTAATTAAATCATTTTTCTCACAAATGGAATTCGATATAGATACCATATGTGTAGATGTTTTTCTGTATCTAAGAGTTCCACATCTACTGATTCAACCAACTGGAGATTGAAAAAATTTGAAAAATATTGCATCTGTATTGAACAAATATGGACCTTCTTTCTTGCCATGATTCCTCAAACAGTGTAGTAAAAGAACAATTTGCATAACATTTAAAATGTATTCAATATTGTAAATATTCTAGAGATGATTCGAAGTATATATGATGACATGCCTAAGTAGTATGTAAACACTGTGCCATTTCATTTTATAAGGCGTTTAAGTACCAGTGGATTTGGGTGTTCAGGGGAAATGAATAGGTATTCAGGGCTAGACCCATGCCCTGCTCATGTTGAGGAATGACTGTCTATAACATGCAGTAAGAGACCCTGACAAACATATCTCTTATTACCAGACCCTGGGATCAAGGTAAATTTCTGGGATACAGATGTAAGGTTAACAAAATCACTTTTACAAGGACAAGATTGTGGTGATATTGGCAGACATCTGAGGAAGAGCTATGGTATTCCTTAATTTTTTTGTTTATCCTCCAGTCTTTAATTGAGCATCTTTTCTGTGCCAGGCTCTGTGTGCAAATGTGTGGAGAAAGAGACAGCGCATCAGTGAGCACACAGACCTAGGACTACCATCTGCACCGTAAGTGAAAAGAGACAGGGATAGATGCTAAGAGCAGAGTACCTGCCCTGAACAGGTGACGTGTGAGTTCAAATGATGAAGGAGAAGGAGCAGCCGTTTTCAGAGCTGGCTCAGGGCTAGGGATCAGCGAAGGAAGACGCCACGGAACTAAGGGACAAAAGAAAGATCCACAGGTCAGAGGGAAGGCAGGACCTGACGCCCTGATGGGTGATGGCTCTGTGTGGATTATGGTTGTGGAAAGCCACACGTAGGTTGATTGGGCTTGGGATCGAGATGGTTTACAGGCTGGGAGGTCTTACGGTCCCTGTGCTCAAGTGGAGAGGCAGCCCTGGCACAGCAGGATCAAATGGTCTGGATTAGAGCCCTGTCCGCTTCTTCCAGCTGTGTGACTTTAAGCAAGTGACCTAACCTCTCCAAACTATAGCTCCTCGCCTGTGAAAAAGGGATCTCAACAATACTTCCCTCCCTGTGAGTACCAAAAGCCTCAACAAGCACAGGGCTCAGCGCGATGTTAGGCCTCTGTTTGTCAATACAGCTACTCTTTGCAGTGGGACAGCCTA